CACAATTTTATGAGTCAGTTTCTGGAAATGAATCATAAATAAACAAATAGGGGAGGGCTACAAATATTAGTGGAAATGTTTCATTATTTATTAATTTCATTTTTCACAAACTTTTTGTGTCTCTCTGTGTGTATTTGCTTATGTGTGGGGAGGTTGTGATTCAAAGGGTTAGAAATGGCCTAAAATTTGAATGGTTGCCTAAAACATTGACCAAGTTATGGTTTAAACAAAATGAAGTTGAAATACCCGTATTGCCTCGGTATACTGGAGAGGTAAGTATCCAAAGGCTTAGAGTAATTGGATAGGTTTATTATGTGAAACCCATCCTGGGAGAGACACATCTTTTGCTAAAACTGTTAGAAATAAATTTGTAAGGAGAGCCCCAGCATTGTTAAAAAAAGTTTGTTGTTGGTCTTCCCTGTATGTCAGAAATTACTATGAGAATTACTTGCATCAAGCTGGAATTCTTAAATGGTATGGGGAAATTTTAAAAATGAAGGGTGTAAAAGGCAAGTGACAGCATTTAATTGTTAAACACAAGGTGGGAATGGTTTTTATAATGGAGAGTGAAATCAAAATAATAAGCAGAATAGTATGATTCAGAGATATCTATCACACAGATTATTTGGTCATGGTACCTAAAAGAGAAACAGATGGTCACTCTACTAAATTCTTACCTCATCTATGTAAGTGGGAGAATTCTAGGTCCAGTAACCCTAATTCTAAATTAATTCATCAAAACAGAGGCATAATGCCTCAATTAATTTCCAGACTCCAGTTTATAGGCACAGAAGCCCTTGTTTAAAAGGTAAGGCAGAGAACCCTCAAGGAGGAATCTCTCAAATTTAGACTTTCAATTTTTCAACCTTCCCCCAAATGTTTCACTAGGTTGATCACAGATTAGTGTCAACATCAAGGATGTGAAGGATGCAATGGTGGTTATTCCTTACTACATTTCAATTTGACTATTTGACTTCTGCAGAAAACAGATGGATTTTAGAGAATGGCAATGGATTATTGTTATTTCACCAGATGGACCCCAAACCACATACCATATACAAAAATCAACTCAAAATGCATCAAAGAAATAAATGTTAAACTAAAAGTATAACGTGTAAAACCTAAAATATAAAAATACAAAATTCTTGGAAGAAAACATATTGTTGTTGTTAAGTGCTGTGCAGTCAGTTCTGACTTTTATAGGGTCTCTGAGGTTTAGGTGGTGGCTTGGAACTGCCAACCTGGCAGTTAACTTCTGGCTAGCAGTCCAATGCTTATCCTACAGCACTTTTATGAATTTGAGTTAATCAATAGTTTCTTAGATATAATGGTATAAGCACAAGAACAAAAGAAAAAAATGGATAAATTCAACTTCATATAAATAAAACCTTTGTCTTTCAAAGAACATGAATGACTAAATGATGTCAACTCATGGAATGTGAGAAAATGTTTGAAATCATGTATCTGATGCCATTGCAGGCAAGTCCTTTTGTACTCTTAACAACAGAAATGTCTGTGGTTAACTTGTTTAGATTGCCCAAGTTTTTACTTTTGTCTTCCTCTTTTTGCCTGCTCTTTTATTTCATTCATTCCATTCTGTTAGGAATTTTACCAAGAATTAACAGGGTCAGAAAGTGGAATTATTCAACTTGTCTACTTATTTAGGGAAAAAGGTCAAAGGGCTTACTAGGGATGGAGCGTAATTATTCAACCGTGTTTAAGTCATCAAGTGGACCTTGGTTATCTGACTTTTTTTTTTTTCACTGATTATGAGAACTTGTTAAGATATAAGTAATCCTTTTAGCTATCTGTTCCCTGAAAATTATAAAATAACCTGTTAATGTCTTCATTCACACAACAGAAATGCTGTTTTTAGCTTGCAATTATTAAACAAACTAAGAAATCACTCTTCAAGATATTTTTAAATATTTGTGGTGGTGGTGGTTATATGACATGAGGTTGGTTCTGACTCATAGCAGCCCTGTATAGAGTTTCCAAGGCTGTAAATCTTTACAGAAGCAAAAAGCCTCATCTTTTTCCCGTGGAACAGCTGGTAGTTTTGAACTGCTGATCTTGCGGTTCGCAGCCCAATTTGTAACCACTATGCTAAGTTTCTTTTAAAATTTGACCTATTATTGACACAGTCAATTATTTTCTACCTTTGGTTTCCCCCTGATTGTTGTATATGGACAATGGACAGATAGGGTTAAGTGTGCTGCTCTGCAGTTGAGTTTCATGTTTGGCTTCACAACTTTATTCCTTGGCAGTAAAAGGAAAACAGTTCTAACAATTCACACCTTGAGGGGCTGCTGTAGACATTACATGATATACTATTTTGGAAGTGGTTGGTTCAGAGGCTTGAGTGGGCTGATTGTGAAAAAATAGCATCACCATAAAGCATGACTGTGTTTACCAAAGGGCTGTAGGTGCAAACTTTGTAATTTTCTTTAGCCATTAAAACCAATCAATATTGGTTTGCAAATCTTTACGGGAGCAGAAAGCCTCATCTTTCTCCCGCGGAACAGCTGCTAGTTTCCAACTGCCGACCTTGAGGTTAGCAGCCGGATTCGTAACCATTATGCTACCAGAGATATACTAGACTACTTTTTTTTTTGCTCCCGTAAAGATTTATAGCCTCGGAAACCCTGTGCAGGGTTGCGGTGAGTCGGAGTCGACTCCATGACACACCACCACCACCACCACCTTCTATATGAAGTCCTGGTGTGGCACTATGGATTAATGTGCTGGACTTCAA